TTTAAGGCAACAGACTTCCAAGCTTAGACCCCGCCGATGGTACATAGTATCAATTAAGCACCCTTATAGTAGCTCTTATATATATATATATATATATAGAGAGAGAGCCCTTTTAAAGGAACCCTATTCTAATCATACATAAACTTTGCACCACCTACAACGCATCTTCCAAAGCCTCCTTACAGCCAAGATTCTGTCGACGGATCGCGCTTCGTCCCTTGAGTTCGCAGTTCGCAATCCTCAGCGCTCGCCGGAGGTGCCTTTGGGAGGGTTGTTGAGTCAGAAGTTGTGGTAGGGAGTTTCTAGCTGTTTGGCTAGCGAGGTTCCAGGTTGGAAGTATAGTTAAGGGGTTGATGAAGAATGCCCGACAGACTGAATCGTACTTTTGGAGCGTCGCCTACTTCAGCTCAGGATTCAATGGCGTCTCCTAATGCTCTGCACCGAGTCCCAGGAAGCTCTGAAGCACTGGAGCCGCACCGGAGCCTCATACCGATTAGAAGGCACCAGGCATGGATACCATCGAGCCGATACGAAATCATCGCAGAAATCCTTTAATTACGCCGAGTATGAAGCCCTAAACCCCAAACCCTAAACCATTTTGATAAACCAAGAGTGGTTCGGAGGATCTTTGGAACATTTGGTATCTCCGCCTCTCTCGTGCGACTACGGAGGAGGGTGTGACGGTCATGGGCTCAGATGCTTCCGGGTTTAGGGCTGAGGCTCTTGCCTTAACCCTAAACCCGCAGAAGTTTAGGGTTCAGGGCAGTGCACCGTAAAGCCAGCCTTTGAGCTCTGTCTGCAGAGGGTGGAGTAAACCTGCTGTGGAGTAAACCTGCTTCTGACAAAGATTGCAAAATTAAGCTTAAGCTCAATCCATAACTGTTCGAAGCCTGGCTCTTATACAAAGCCATAAAGTATGCCCCATTGAGCCTTTTTCCAACAGATGCTGGTCCCTAAACCCTAAACCCCTAAACCCTAAACCCTAAACCCCTAAACCCTAAACCCAAAACCGCACACCCCAAACCCCCCTCAAAGCCGAGGGCTCCAAAATCCCAGAACTTCAGTCGGAGGACCATGGACTTTTTAGCCTATGGGGGTTACGGATCCCTAGGGTTCCTTTAAAGGGAGCTATAGGGGTTCCTTTAAAGGGATCTATAAGGGTATCATAGGAGGCCAAAAGGGGTTTTAGCCTATGGGGGTTTAGTAGGGATTGGGGTTCCCATAATAAGGTTTCATATTAAGGAATCCATGCCCCAAGAAACTTAAACCTCCCTTGTGGCCTCCCATCAGACTTGCAAAGTAAGAACCTTTTCTGAAGGGTTTAAGCTTCAGGGTTTAGGCTTAAGTAGGTAACGTTGTCGGTAGCTCAATTAGGAGCTGCAGCCTCGGAAGCCTCCTGCGCTTTTTCGTAAAGCCACGAAGATCTTGCCAACTGGCGTGGTTCCCACACCCCCGCGTGCCCTGGAAGTTGGTCCTCTGACACAATATTTTCTTTCCCTAGACCATTATTGGGTTGCCGGAACTGCTCATTTGGCTGAGGCCGGTGCCCCTGTAATGTTTTACACAAGTGTTGTTCGCAGCCTCACCACCAGCAACAATCCGACTCAGCTCAGTCAACACCAACCCAAGCCGTCACAAGTCTTCCAATTGTCCATACCCCCTCTCAGCCTCTCTTAGCCTCATCAGGCTCTACACAAGCGCTTATCCCTGGGGATCAAAATAGCCCAAAAGCCTTAAATTGTATGGTCTTTGGGCCCAAAAGCCTTAATATATGAGTCCTTAGATCCCTATAGGGTATGAAGCCGCATTACAAGTCATGAGGTCTCCAACGTAGCGACGCTGGCCGCTCAGCCAACGCTCTTCGAAAGCCTTTGTGAGGCTGATAGGGCATGCAGGGGCTTCAGGGAATCGAAACCTTTAGCTTCAAGTAGTTCCATTGTATATTTACAAGTTTATGTTGCTTGGATTCAGGGAATCGAAACCTATGACTCACTCTATTTTGTAGTTTTGTTAAATAACCAGTATGTGATACTTGTAGTTACTGTAGTCCATGTTACAGTACATCACGGTATATCATAGCACACAACCTCAGCCCTTAGTCATTATAAGTAAGTAAGGTTGTAAGTAAGTAGCTTAGTTGGAATTGTAGTAGGCACATGTATACGTGTAGGTACCTGCCGATAACCCTGGCTGCTGCTAACTCCCATGATCCTTTCGGTGCTTGGAAAATGGAAGCCTCTGGCAGAGCTTGGCGTAGGGAAAGAAATGCCGCAGCGGACAAGCGTGTTTCATGTTTCGCCCTGTATCTGGACCCTCCAGGTAGTACTATCATGGACCTTAACCCCTACGAAAACTCCCCCAAAAGTCTGCAGAATACTGGCATAACAGCTTTAAAGAGGCCATGATTCTACACACCTTAGGGGTCGGTACTGTACGCCCGCCCGCCTGCATAAGCGCATGCAGCTGCGGTGCATCAATAGACTCAAACATCGGGAACCCCGAAGCCGCTTTTAGTTGGGCTCCAGGGTTTAGGGTTTAAGGGTGTGAGGGTTTGGGATTTAGGGTTTGGGGTTTAGGGTTTAGGGCTCCGTGCCGACTCTACCAATCTTTTGAAGCTGTTTTCAACGGGTTCTAACGATGTTAGCGGTTTCTTTTGCAACGAGTTTTGGTAAGGTTCTGTACGGTCTTGCAAGAGTTGACATGGGTAGTTTGATGGGGCTTGTAGGGCGATGGTAGAGCGAGACGCTTCAGCGTCGTCAGCAATCACAAAAGCACAGACCTGCAATCAACAGTAACAGTGTTCCCTCAGCTGTGTTCCCTCCTAGACCCTACTGTAAGTAATGGGCTTGAATAATCACAACAGTCAGATAGTTATACTGTCTTCTGTACACGGCTGCAGGAAGGCCTTTACAGAACGTCCAAATGACCTCAACCGTCCCCGCAAACAAGCGCGATGTGCACCGAATATCGCAGCCCAAATCACTACGAATATTGTTTCGGGTTTAGGGGTTCGGGCCAAACCGTAACAACCTCGAACCGTAAATTTAAATCCTAAGCCCCAACTTAAGCTCTTTCTGGGTTGGATCCCCGTAGCCAAGAGAGGCTGCCCTTGCGGGCTTTGCGGTGACACCTCCCATCACTTCCATCCAGCTTGAAGCTCAAAGGGGGTTTAGGGTTTCGGGTCTGCAGTTTAGCTTCTCGGCTTGAGGTTTGCAGATCAGGTTTTGCAGAATTCAGGGTATACCGTTTAAGTAGGTTTACAGGTTGAAGAAAGGGGGTTTTAATAATCACCTAGAATAGAATCTTTGGGGGGGAGTTCCTTATTGTAACTAAGGCATATACCTATCACCCAACGGCCCGGCCCCAAAGTAGTTCCTTTTTGGGTGTGTCCTCTTTTTTGGTTAGGGACTCTAATATACTACCCAAAAAGGAACTACTTTGGGGCCCCTGGGTAAGGCCCTTACATCTGGTGTTACACTTCGGGTTTTAGGGTTCCCGGTCTAGCGTTCTGGAGGCCCAGAGAGCCCCCAAAAATCTCCAAAATACTGCCATAGAGGGAACTCCAGAAAGTTGGAATATGGATTAATGGTAGGATCCCCTATAATTTACCTTAAAGGGGTTAGGATAGTGATATTCCAACTTTCTGGCTTCTACTGTAAAGGTTCAGTGTTCAATGTTTCGGGTTTATGTGTGAGGTTGCAGGAACTTGTGGTTCAGGATGCTTTGGCGGTTTAGGGTTTAGGGTTTTAGGGTTTTGGGGTTTTAGGGTTTAGGGTTTTAGGGTTTAGGGTTTAGGGTTTTGGGGTTTGAGGTTTTGTTGAGGGTTTCGCTTTCGGCTCATGGGGTCTGGAGTTTGTTCCTTTCTCATGTCTTGCATGTGTTGGTTGGGCAACACTCCTAGAGGCTCCACTTACTCACATAGTAGGTTACAAACCGTAAAACACGTAACCCAGGGACCCATTCTTTCGGTAACTGAAGCCCTGGGCACTAATTACTTCATGGCTAGCTGCATGCAACTTCCAAGATATCCTTCCTGGCATGTAGCCATGCCGCACTGAGGCTCGATACGACGAGCATCGCTGCGAACGAGAGATGCGACGTGGCGCCACTCTCGGCCCTGCATTCTGATCGGACCTGCAACTACGACGTTTTGCAGTACAAAGTAAGCACACAAGGATCCTAAGGCAAGACGGAGTTTGGAAGAAACTTATTGATGCGAGAGAACGCTTTCTACGCCTGCAGTAGTCATTACAGACCACATCCAATCCCCCGGAGCCTGAGCCTTTAGCATTACATCGCAAACCCCAACGAAATCCTAAGCCCAAAATACTCAAAGACCTGCACTCCAAACCCCAAACTCTAAGGCTCAAGCCCTAAACCCAGACAAGACCCCAGTTACCGAAACCAATGCAATCTAGACGGATGAACAGAACTAATCATCCCGTTCCCCGGCGCAAAGCCGGTTTCCATCCCTGCATCTTCATGAGTTTGCAGAGCCTTCTCAGTACCGCAAACTCCCAAAGTCCTAAATCCCAGACCCAAAATTCCGAAAGCCTGAACCCGAGACAGCACTTCTAATTCCTAACCCTTGGCCCAAATTTCTCTAGACCCCAAACCCTAAACCTGAGCACCCTAATCTCCGAAACCTTAATTCCAAAGCCTCAAAAATACTCATTCAGCCATTTTTCATGCCCTGAAGAGGGTTGACAGATACTGAAAGAAAACTGTACATGCCCTCAATTTCAAATCCCGAACCCTAAGCCCCTAGCCCTAAACCCCAAGCCTTCTAAGCCTTCGGCCGTTAAGACCGAAACCTCAACTTGGCAGCTCTACTCCCTCAACTCGAAACCCTAATCCCTAAACCGTAAACCCTAAGATGCTGCAGACTGCCGCCCCCTGGAAAAAGGAGTTCAAAAAAAAGCGTAAACCCTGAAACACCAACCTAAGCCCCAAGCACCCAGGATTTCACGTTGGAGACTACTGAGCTCTTGGTCTCAAACATGGTTGTTGCTGTCCGTGCCTCGGGGTGTCGAGGATTTTGACAGTTCTCGTGGGGTTCCTTGAGGGTTTTAGGGTTTTTCTGTTTTCTCGGCAGGAATTTCTGAAGAACATGTAATCACCTGCTACAGGTTTTATGGGCCGTTGGGCTGGACCTGCGCTGCTTTGAGCATGGTTTACAGCTGTAGGGTGGGCGGTTAGGTGTTATCAGTTTTCTGGCTTGGTACAGGGTCAGGGCATGTGTTTTGTCTGTGAGTTTACTGGGGGTTGTTGTAAACTCAGGGCGGCGGGCTTGGATATCGGCTGGTGTACTATACCGGGTCTAACGAAGTGCAGCGGGTGCTATTTTCAGAAAAGCGAGTCGCCGGATGCCGCCAGTCGGACAGCAACAGATGCACGGGGTATTGAGCAAAAAGGTGTCGGAACCCAACTCAACTCTGGGCAAGGATCCCATTAGTTAGGGTCTATAGCAGGCTACGGTTTCATCCGACATGTCTTCTATCGGTCGAGCCATATTAATTCATCGCAGCACGATGCGCAGTCTCAAGACAAGACTGTCCGTCATTGCAGCAAGAAGCAAACGCATGAATACCAAGGCGAGGAAAAGCATTCCACCGGCAATGGTGACAGCATGAGAGGCTTGACCACGCAGTAATTGCATTCCTTTTGGCCCCTGTATAGTGCTAGCATTACTAGGATATCACCCAAAATTCTATGCGCTATATGAAGGTTTCTACCGACAATCCTAACTCCAAACCCTTCTGGAAACCATGTAAAAGAAGCTCACATGAGCCCTTCGCGGTTTTTGAGGTCTCACTCCCAATCGGCTTCCGTGCTTTGGGTCCGGAGGCGAGGTACTTATACCTTAAACTACCAAACCCTACTTTTGTGTAGGTTCTTATTATGAACCCTAATATGGAGTTTATAGGGACCCTAAAAAAAAGTAGGGTTTGGTAAGTTAAGGTAGGGCTTAAGTGCTCAACGTTTGGGGTTTGGGGCTTAAGGATTTTTAAGGCTTGGGGCTCAGGGCTTAGAGCTCGCGCCCTGGGTTTAGGGCACTCAAGATTTTGGGTTAAGGGCGCAGGCTTGAGAATTTCGAATTTAACCGCAGGACGTAGGTCGAAGGCCTAATTTAGGTCTTCGGGTGTAGCATGCAAGCATCGTGTTTGCGGGTAAGGTCCGGTAAGGTTAAGGCTTTGCATCATAGTTTCTTGATTTGCAGGGCCTTTTCCGCCGGAGCAAACAGAGCCGGAGAAAGGTTCTGAAGCAGTGCGGCCGTGGCAAGCACGGACTTGGTGGTTCCTGCTCTGCTTTCTTTCGGGCTCTTAGATGCTCTTTTACAGTAGTCTTGCTTGGTTGTGTTTCTTGTGTTGGGGGTATCAAAAACAACTGTTTTGCTCACCCTTCGATGGGGGCGCAGGGCTTTGGTCAACGGACTTTGTGTAGTAAGCCTTTGAAACCCATGAGACAGCAATCGCGACGAGCGCAATGCGTGCGTAGTCACACAGACAGTGTCACACCCAACATCCCCAACCAGACACCCACTAAAGCCCTTGTAAACGCAAACTTCACGAAAGCCCTGTGCCCAAGCTGTATTTATGTAAGCCCTAAACAAGGCCCCAAACCCTAAACCGCCGAGCTTCAAATGGGAGTTTCCAAAAAGAGGGGACCCTAATCTAGCACCTCAAGAAGTAGGATCCTTCTTATAAGGGCCCCAAAATAAGGTACCCCCAATTTTCGGAAACTCTAGACCCTAAACCATCCTAAACCCTTTATAGATCCCTTATAGATCCCTTTAAGGAACCCTAAAAGGGACCCAGAATAAGGTACCCCTCATTTTCGGAAACTCCGAAATCTTCAGGAGCATCTTGCATCTTTCCTGAGCGGAGCCTATGGGCTTGGACTTTTCGAGCCTTCCCCCCAGCAGCGTAGGGGAGGGCATGGGGCTTCAAGCGTCACCCCAAAACTGGGCTCTTGTTGTACTACTTCCCATAGGCCCCATAGTAGTTCCTCTTTGGGGCTCATATTTAGGATCCTACAAGGTAATCCCCCAAAAGTAATTTCTGTGGGGCCTATGGGTAGTTTAAGGTCCCGAAATAAGAAGGAAACCCGATTAATTGCTATAGACCTTCATTGCGGTAACTCAAACTCAAGTCCTTAACCTAGACCCACACAAACCGTAGGGGTGGACGTCGACTTTGGGTTTGGAATTTCGGATATGGGTCGGGTGGTGTGGGGTTGAGGTTCTATAAGGGTTCAGGGTTTGGACTAGCAGGGTCTCAGAGTTTAGGATTGAGGGCAATCGGGATCAGAATTTGGGATTTGGAATTCTAGACGCGTTGGGGTTGCGGTGGCTGCAGGTCAGAAAACAATAAGACCCAAACCGTAACCACCAAAACACTAAGCGTTAAAGACCCCAAATCTGAAATTTTGATCCCTTAACCCCCAAACTCTTGGCCTCAGGCTCGAGGCCAAAGACTGTACTTGAGGTTTTCTGGCGTAATTCAGAAGCTTGAGTACTACCAATACTGTTCCTTGCTTCGTTTCTAGTTGTGGTATAGCACCGTCAGCCCGATTCAGGTAATCAAGGTTAATGTGAGATGCTCTGCTATTGCTCAAACACGGGCGCTTGGCAGGATTGTTCCGAGCCCAAAGAGCCCACCATAGGTGTTTAGGGTTCATGGTTTAGGCCTTCAGGCGTTTAGGGTTGGGGTTTTCATCAGGTCTTTCTTTCCCGCAACCCATGTGACCTGTAGTCCTTAACGTTAAACTTGATTCTCATTTGTAAGGCGCCCACCTTATCAACAACTAAACGTAGTGCTAAACCGTGAACCTTCTACCCTAAACCTAAACCCCTTTCTAGGCGTAAGCCTGAAGTCTGAAGTGTCGAACATTTCCACCCAGGCTCCTGCCTATCGAGCAGACCGAAGGCACGCAGACGGGGTACTGATTGGGTTTCGAGTTTAGGTTCCAGGATTTAGTGCTTGGGATGTTGGATGTAGCATCCTACTACAGGATTTAAGGTTCAGGGTCTGGGATGTAAGGTTTATATATAGGATCTTGGTTGAATTGCTTTGAGCGATTTCGAATTTGCGGTGTAGGATGGTTTAGGATAGGGAAACGGGTGCTGCAGATCGCATGACCCTAGCCTGAAGTTCAGGGTTGTGGGTTTTGGGGTGCAGATTTGTTTCTCGACAGCCCTAAATAGGAGTTTCTTGTAGAGCTTACAGAGCTAATTCTGCCGTTTGGGGCTTAGGGTATCCCCGTATGGTCCCCATCTAGACATCTAAACCTTTCTATGATATGTCCTAAGGCCTTACTTGGTCTAGGCATTATTCATAAACCCTTGCACATCCTTACACTGGGTGAGGCCACTAAACCCTAAACCCTACACTCTACGTCATGCCCAGACTTTGGGCACTTTGGGGGGAAAGCCCACCGCTCTCCAGGAGAAGATGGTGGCCTGCAGGACCTTCCGCTTCTCTGGTTCGACCGTCGCTTGATTTAGTAAAAAACCTGAGTATTTTTTCCTTTGGGTTCTTTGTGATACATATAGTACAGCATACCTAGTGCACCTCAATAGTTGCAACAGTTAGTCATTGGCCTGCATGAGGCCTTATTAGGTTTCTTTTTGACAATTTCATTATACTTGACCCCCCCCCCAGCTCCATGTCAATTTATTGAGGCCGTTTGTAATGCCTACATTCAAACCCTAAACCCCAAACTCAACAATACTTATAGTCTCCATTGTAGTTCCTTCTTTTGGTCAACCAATGTTATGGTTAGGATCCTATAATATAGTTTTTGGTTAACCAAAAAAGGAACTACAATGGAGACTATAGGTGGAGACTGCCCTGGCTTGGTCCGCCAGGACGTTGCGCGCCTGGTGTTCGTAGGCTCTGGAGGCCGTGCTGTGACTGAAGCAGCAGTGCCCGGAGACTCGAAGATTAAGTAATGGTTCGGTATTCCTACAATCTACGAGGGACCCCTAAGTTGGCGAAAAGGGACCCTAAAGTTGGAGAACTGCGTTTTATGCAGTAGGAAAGAAGCCGGACTTCAATTGCAGAGCTCTGTTGATTACCCTTGGTGTTGTGGGGTCTCCCTATTGACCCGAATATTATGAACAAGGCTTACGCAGGGGGTTCCTCGGGAACCTAGACTACAATCATGGTCGTCTGTGCTCCAAAAGCAGTGCCATCATTTCCTTGAAGCACGGGTGCCTTGAGTCCCATGTTCCTGAACTCTGAGAGCCGTATCTCTGCAGGCTTGACAAGCCCACCAGTTCATCTTAAGGGAATTTAACATAATATAGGGGCCGATCAGTTGCCTTTAATTACTATTTTGGGGGTTCCTTAATTACCATACTTGTAGTAAAATGGGCCCCAAAACCCTATTCTAATTATATTGTGGCACTTTGAAGTTTCCGTTCGTTGCGAGCTTCCAGTTCCAGAGCGCCTGCAGCAGGCTCACAGGTCGGCATGTGCCTTTGCGCCCAACAAAACGCCGCCAGCCAAAACCCCTAAACGCTACCGCTAGCACCTTAACTAACCATTGATATTGGGGGAGCTAAGGAGCCAGGGATGATGGTAGTCACTACTAGATAAGGAGCTAAAGAGCCAAGGGAACCCCCAAAAATCACTGGTTAGTTAAGCTTTCAGCCCTAGACTAGAGACACAACATGCTGGCGGTTCGAGGCACCTATGGGGGCGAAGCATGCTGTTCTCACCTATCGACAGAACGACATGGTTGAATTTCCATCAGAGGGCATTGTCTCCGACTCCCTAGGCCCTACCTTAACCCACCAGAACCTTCGCTTGTAGGGTCCCTATAAATTCCACAATAGGGTTTACAATGAGAACCTGCAAAAAACTTGGGTTTGGTAGGTTAAGGTAGACCCCAATTAGACTCCAGGACCTCAAACCCCACAGCCGGAACTCTATGATTACGCTAAGCCCCAAAACCTCAGCCCCTCAAGCCGCAAAGCCTTAAGCCTGAACCCTGCGTAAACTCTATAAACTTTGTCATAATTGGGCAACATGTTAAGTTTTTTGGGGTACATAAACCCAACTAAGGAGTAACAATGTGCATGTTTAATACTATCCCAACCATGAACTAGCAAAGCCTAACCCGAAACCTTGAGCTCTACAGCTTACACCCAGCCGCGGCCGAATGCCTCTTAGACAGCTGCGTCGACTTACCTCCTATGTCGCCACGGCTGGGAGGAGGTGCAGGGTTTAGGTCGGGTCTGGGGCTTCGGATTTAGGGTTCAGGGTTTTTGGGGCGGGGGTAGGATGTAGGAGCTGTGTTTTGGGCTTTGAGCTGTTGGGCTGAGGGCTTGGCAATGGTGGGAGTTCTCTTTTGAGATCGGGTAGCACGTACCCTGTTCCTATGATTGAGGACCCTATGCTAGTCAGGTTTGGCGGTCTAGTTTGAACGCCGGCTGAAGCAACCTTTCGTCCATATGCTCATGAACTGACGAGGCTCAAATCGTAAGAAGTTGAAGGCGTACATGGCCGAGTCCGTACACCCGAAGCCTGAAACGTACACCCCAACCCTAATTCCCAAAGCAATAAGCCTGATGCCTACCAAAACCTTAAACCCAGAGCCCTGAGCCCTGAACCCTACCAAAACTGCAATCCCAAAACCCCAGACGAAGACCCCTTGGTCCCTGAACCCTACCAGAACGTTAAATCCAAAACCCGAAATCCTTTCTCAAGCCAAGGTATGACGGTGCCCTGCCCGCCCAGCCGAGGGTTCAGGGGCCCACCAAAATCATGCCGCTTGGACTCGGAGCGAAGTACCCAGATGCCCCATAGTAGCTCCTTTTGGGGATTACTTCAAGAAGGAACTACTTTGGGCTTTGGAGTAAGGGTAGTGAGGGGTTTGGGTTTACGGGTTGGAAGCGGGTTCCAGGGGTTTGGGGCTAAGGGTTCGAATTAAGGGGTCTGAGGGGTGTAATTGGGGTTGAGGGTCCAGGGTATCATGATAGTGGTTCTATTGTCTAGGAAGGCTGTTTGCGGGTTCTAGAAGGGTTCTTTCGGCTTTCTGGGGTTCTTTAATGCTGCTGTGAGGGTTCCAGAGAAGATGCAGGAGTGATTTTGACTCGCAGCGGCTTGAGGCTTCTGAGAGCAGGTTGTTCAATTATCTTTTCTAAGCTCAAGAAGCGCCTTTGCCCCAAACCCTCAGCCTCAAAGCACGAAAGCCCTGAAACTTGAACTCACAAGAAGTCCTATGCTTTGCAACCCGCAAGCCCCAAGAGAAATCAATGCCCTTAAAGCCCTCACAATCCATGAAGCCCGTAAAACCCTGAAAACCCTTGAAAACCTTAGAGCCCCACTGTAATCCCAGAGCCCAAAACCTGAGGGCAGCGAGCCACCGAAACCGGGCCTGGCAAGAAAGCCTGGCCTTCTTCTACAGCCATGTCTGGTCGGAGAGAACAGGTGGACGGAGGGTATGAAGCTGTGGGTCAGGGTCCAGAACGTACCTTGGGTAGGGAATGGAGGAATGGGGTACAATTGTAACTATTATTACTACCCTTCTTCCATTCCCTGCTAATCAAAGGTAAGAGAAGCTTACAGTTCGGGGTTTCCGTGGGCGGAGGGCAGTCTTGCTGTTGTGATTAAGGCGCGTCGTTTATGATTTACCGGTGTACTGCTCAGCATTTAATTTAGGATCGCTAGTGTGTAGTACATGAGCTACCATCATTGCTGTTGTTCTGCTCTAAACTAATACCACTGGGGCTGGCTGTTGGAAAAGGAGCTCAAAAAAACCGAAACATTAAAAACCCGACGAACAAAGATCCCTTGAGAGGCCATCCGTCCGAGCTCCTCCCCTGCTGTAACATGGCTTTGGCGGCCCTCGACCGCGGCAGCCTGTGGCGGCTCTTTGGTCTCTTTTTAAGTCAGGTTTAGAGTTTATAGGGTTCAGGGTTTAGGTTGTGAGGTTTAGGATTTTTGGCTTGAGGTTCAGAGTTTAGGTTTTGAGGTTTAGCGTTTATGGTTTATAGGGTTCAGGGGTTAAGGCTTTGAGGTACAAACTTCCAGGGTTTCAGGTTAGCGCCTCGGTCAAGGTGTCGGCTTTGACATTAAGGGTGTTGGGTTTAGGATGTAGGGTGTAGGGTTTGAGGTTTAGGTCTTCTTTGGGGGCTTAGTTTTGGGAGATTGATGGTTGAAGATCAATGTAGATGGGGGCTGTGAGGATTCGACTGGAAGGGCCCCTTTACATAGCTCTGATATGTTCTAACATGCTACAACTTACACTGTACGCAACCTCATCTCCATGTACTATGTAAGTCCTCAGTACATAAACCCCAAGTAACCTACCGTTTTAAGGACTTATATAACGAAATCATATTAGGGAACCCTACAAAGGTAGGTTCCGTAGGGTCCAGGTAGACCTTGATCTCCAGGCAGTCTTTGCAGCTTCTCGACGAGATGAAAAGCGCAGGCGCACGGTTTAGGGTTTTACTTAAAGGATCATGGGACTTAGTAACTAGGGTTATAACTAAGGTAACTATACTTATAACTACTTGTAGCCCCAAATAAGGTACTTATAACCTTACTTACTAAGTCCCATGATCCTCCAAGTAGGGTTTAGGGTTGCTTCCCAGTTCTGGCTCTCCTCCCCTCGTAGGTTGCTGAGGTCTGACTGGCAAATCCCGCGGAGGGCGGATTTCAGCATGTAGGGTATGGGGTTTAGCGGTCTAGGGTATAGGGTTTAGGGGTTTAGGGAAGCCCGTGCTGAAAAAGGGTTTTAGGGTTTAGGGGTTTAGGGTTTAGGGTTTAGGGGTCTAGGGTTTAGGGGTCTAAGGGGTCTAGGGGTTTAGGTTTTAGGGGTTTAGGGTTTAGGGGTTTAGGGTTCAGGGCTTTAGGGTTTAGGGGTTTGGGGTTTAGGGGTTTAGAGTTTAAGGGTTTAGGGGTTTTGGGTTTGCGGTTTGCCGGGCCTAGGGTTAGGGCTCCCATAATAATTCAGCACTGGCTTGATATTCTGCTGACAGACTGAGCAAAGCCTCCCCAACCCAACATAGAAGGCTAGAAGATTTGCCCAACATATTATCCTCCCAGACCATCGGCTGACCCAGCTCCTATCTCCGAATCTCCGCAGGTAGGGCTCTCCAGACCTCCCCAGCTCAAGAAACAATCTGTATCCCCCCCACGGATGTGAAGCCCAATACATCGAATGATATCACAGTGATATATATCTTAGTACAGTACGGTACACTATGTCTAATTCTGCCAAAACCCTAGACTTCGAATCCATGCACTCTACTCCACACTCCACCGGGTATGTCTGGACGTACGTACTGCCCTGTACTGGACTGCTGTTTTGTCTACAGCTCAAATGCAATGGAATGCGTACATCATGTATTGTAGTTGTAAGGATTGTATGGTATCATAAGTATGTGGACGCTTTTGCAATCGTGTTTGCATACGTACATCCATTCATAATTCACAGATATCTGCAAACAGACGGAAAGGCCGACAGACAGAACAGGCAGGCAGGCCGGCACGCAGGCAGGCCGACCGACCCAGAGAGACAGAGAACGCAGAGACAGACAGGCAGACAGGTAGACAGGCAGACAGATGGACAAAGAGACCGAGACACGGAGAGACAGGGATACGGAGAGACAGACAGACAGACAGACGGACGGACAGACAGACAGAGAGTCAGACAGACTCGACATTGCGTAAATGCACATGAATTCGTCTATCTACACTTGCTTTTACTTTCGCTCTCAGTCTCTCCCTCTCTCTCTCTCTCTTTCTTTCTTTCGCTGTCTCTCTCTCTCTCTCTTTCTCCCTCTCCTTCCCAGCATGTGCGTGCTCACGGAGGCCTCGGCCCGGACTCGACAAGCGTCACGGCGCTCGCGAGCGCCTGCGGCCGTGGTGGGCGCTGGGATCTCGAG